TTTAAGGAGATGCGAAGTACTGTGCTGTCAATGTTGTGGTACCCATTTAATTTAAAATTCAGGATTGGCCTAAAATTGATTCGTGTTGTAAAAATTAGATGAGATGGGATGGGTTGGGTGTATTTTTCAAATTGGTTTGGGGGGGGGGATATAGGTACCCCATTGAAGTAATGGATTGAAGATAGCTGCCTGGGGTAGGTTTTATTTAAAAAATAGGTTTCGATTTCAAAAAATATTCCGTCAATTGAGGCAGATCGACCCTGTGGAGGTATAACGTAGGATTTGTAACGTTTATCAACGTTGGAACGATCTTCTGAAGACGTTATTTATTATTGTGTATTATTATTTCATAAATAATTATTATTTGTTGTTGTGTATATAACAATAATTATTATTATTTGTTATTGTATATATAATAATTATTATTGTTGTTAGTTTTTTATATATTTGAAGGTAACAGATATATATATTCGAAAATGGCATCAGGCGGAGACAGTTTACTGGCGTTAGGTGGTAAACGTACAACGGGTCAGTCGATACGAACCCAGAATNGAAAATGGCATCAGGCGGAGACAGTTTACTGGCGTTAGGTGGTAAACGTACAACGGGTCAGTCGATACGAACCCAGAATGGTGAGCGATATTAGTAATAATAATATTAATAAATCATATATATTATGTATTTATTATAGTTATAATAATATTTAAGTATAATAATAAACAATAATAAATATTAATTTAAATAATAAATTTTGAAGTGATGGCAGCCGCAGCCATAGCGAACATCGTCAAATCGTCATTGGGTCCTGTCGGATTGGACAAAATGCTGGTGGATGACGTGGGAGTAAGTTATATATTATTATTATATATTATTATTGTATATAATAATTATTATTTATCATTGTATAATAATATTTATTTTTATTGTATATATTATTATTTAATATTAATATTATAGGATGTAATCGTAACGAATGATGGTGCCACGATATTGAAACAACTTGAAGTGGAGCATCCAGCAGCGAAGGTTCTTGTTGAGTTAGCTCAATTGCAGGATGAGGAGGTTTATTTATTATTGTTATTATTTATTATTATTGTTATTTCTTATTGTATTTATTATTATTATAATATTTAATATTGTTATTTATTATTATAATTAAAAACAGGTTGGAGATGGTACCACATCGGTAGTGATATTAGCTGCGGAGCTGTTGAAGGCAGCTGACGAGCTGGTGAAACATAAACTACACCCAACTACGGTCATTAATGGGTACAGATTGGCCTGTAAGGAGGCGGTGAGGTACATGCAGGTGGGCGTGGCTTTTTTATTTATTATTATATTTATTATTATTATATATTATTGTTATTATTATTTATTGTTATTTATTATTGTTATTATTGTTGTTATTTTAGGAGAATCTGTCAATAGGAGTGGAGGAACTGGGCAGGAGCTCGGTAATTGGCGTGGCTCAGACGGCCATGTCATCGAAACTCATTGGACCGTGGGTTTTTTTATTGTTCTATTAATTATTAATTAATTAATTATAATTGTTAGTAAATTAAATGAACGTGTATTATTTATTATGTTTATATGTTATTTATTATTATTATTGTAATTGTTAAAGGGATTCGGAATTCTTTTCGGAGATGGTCTACTCGGCAGTGGAGGCAGTTAAGGTGGTGGATCAACACGGAGAGGCGACTTATCCGATTAAGGCGATTAATATTCTGAAGGCGCATGGCAAGTCGGTCAGGGAGAGTACACTGGTTAATGGATACGCACTTAATTGCACAGTAGCTAGTCAGGGTGGGTTGTTTTTTGATTATTTATTATTATTTATTATTGTTATATATTGTTTATTATTGTTATTTATTATTATTATTGTGTATT